TTAGTTAATGTCTGCTGCGAGTATCAGTCAGTTTAATCAACGGCTTGTCAATCAACAGAGGCAAATATACGACTGTGTTTTTAGACTTTTCGATTCATCTAAATATTTTACAACTTTGAGGTCAAATATCTCCCGTTGCCAGAAAGCTACAACACTAATCTTAATTACCCTTTATAACCCATCATTTCATCTCTGAAAATCATCAAAAAAATCTTTGGGCACTACCGTATTTTTGTCTTGGATGCCTTTTAAAATCTGCGACTGTGACAAGTTTCTCTCAACTACACCTGTCACGCAATTCTTGCTCTAGGCGGTCACTTGACAAAATAAACCTACATTTTTTAGCTCTTTATACAAGATGATTGATCAAGAAAGGTGAAAACTGTGAAAAACTTTCGAGAAAAACTTTCGAGATACATGTAGACGAAAAAATCAATGGGAAATCGTAGCGTTTCTTTCTTCGGTCGTTTCTTACTTTGAAGATTTGCTAAAATCAGCAGATATGGCTTTTGTACGGCACAAAACATTCATTAGTCTATAATTTGATTGTTTATCATCATCACTGCTCATTTTAGGAGATTTTAAAGTCACATGCTGCTTGTTGGCTGATATTACTACATGTTCCAGTGTGCTACAACTTCGGCTTTCACAGACGAGAAATTCTGCGTTCTCGCTCGAGAGCAAATATAAATTGTTCTATCGGACTAAAAACTGTGCTTCTATCCCGAAAATAAAATTAAAATAGTGTTGACGTTGTCACTTACCGCCATCGAACATTTACATACAGAACTCCGCCATGCTAACATCAGTTGTGTGACCCAAAGACTCTCCGTAGGAATTATTCAAGCGCGTTGTTCATGCTATCTGCTTGATAACAATTTCAGAATAATCTGCAGATCTCTATGATTATTTACCTGCTTCGATCGTTAAATATCTGTATATTTTTTCAAAGCATTCTATTACTACATATAAATCTACATCTCTCTAGATCGAGTGTTGCCGGCGTTTAGTTGCGTGACTTGTAAAATTTTTAAATAAGAATGAGCCAACAGTAATTTGACGAGTAGCCTTCCTGCAAATTTCCCTTGATGAAATCCCAAGACATAGCCAGTTGTTTTCGTGAGCAAAGACAATAAATATGAAAGAAAAGTGAGATGCGAATGTCTTTTTTTTTTAGCTTAATAGCAGCTGTACCCTCTCCTGCAGTCTTCGTCTAAATTTTGCAAGGTCCCTCCTTATCTTCTGCCTTGTTCGGTCAGTTTCGAATTCTGAAGCTAGATCATTGGCATCGGCCTCTCTGTCCTCATTCATATTTACAGAGGGGGACCTCATCAATAAACCAATTTTTGTTACAGCAGATAACCGGCTGAAGTATCGAGCGATTTGCTGCTGTATCAACCGGTCAGTCTTAGACAACATTTCTGGCTGGTGTCGTCTCTTAAACTCTCTCGATATTTGGGAGATCACATTAGAGGCGGTTGCCTTACTAGTTTCCTCCCTTGCCCAGCACGCGTCTAGGAGATAATTCCCTGCTTTCTGAGAAAAGGTGGCTGTTTTTGTGTTTTCCAAAGAGCCCATCCAAAGTCCACTTGGCTAGTTAGGGATTGTTCGTCAGAATTTACCTGAGGTCCGACCTCGAACGTAGCCGTCCCCTATAGAATGGCAAGCCGGTCTTAGTCCATTTCCTCTTGATCTTATCCTAGGCGGAATGTTTTTGTCGGCATCACTGTGTTTGTCTTTGTCAGGGTACATTTGGATGGCAGCCAATGACTGAAACATCTTGATACACCCTTCTTTTAGCAAGAATATCTCGCTTTCTTGTTCCGTCTATGACGGATTGGGTATAGTTTTCGCGATGACCTGCGTTCAGAAATCTGTGCACGTTGCTGATAACCACCCGCTTCTACGATTAGTTTGCTGAAAGTTTCTAATGTGATGAGCCTAGTGAGACCCTGAGGTGTTTCAAACTGTGCCAGTTGGTCTGCGCTATAAACTTGTCGCAGTTCTTAAGTCAGAGAGAGGATCGCCCACCTCTATCTATGTGAGCGCCTCTACAGTACCTGCGTATCCCTAGCAATCATATGATAAAAAGTTCATCTCAGTCACAAATCACCAGTTAGGAAAACTGATGTTCAGATAAGCGCTCTTCTTGCCCTTCTTCCTTATTCATGGTCGACTCTAAGATAGCAGCTACAGTACGCGTTCTATTTAGGTTTACAGTCACCTTGCCGCCACCAGAAAGACTCGCCACCAGCTTTGATTTCTTCTGCCATCTGTAGATTCATCTCTCTCTCACTTTATGTCTCCGATTTTTATGAGGAGGAAACTGGCATTTACGAACCCGAGGGTCTGAATCTCACACCAATTTATGCACGATATTTGAGGTACATCGTGAAATCGCGGCCTTCGTAGTCTCCAAATAAGCCAATACGCGCTAGAATAAGCTCCATCTCGGACGAAACGCATGTTTGGAATACATCGACGTCTCTCAAATTTTTCTTTTTTTTTTTTTAAGCTGTATACCCACGAATTTAGAGGTATGAGCTCTTGCCGTCCCTGGACAGCGGGAGAAAAGTAACATTTGGTTCTACAGTTAGTTGCAAATGAACAAGACAACTGCACCATCTTGACTTTATCAATTCGAGTGTTAGATTGAATTGAGGGCTTTTTAGACACTCGATTTCTTATATGGTATCACTATGAAGACGTAATACAACTGATACACCTACACTACATAGGATTAACATTGTCTGTTGCGCTGTTGCTAGAAGGAGGAAAATATGACCGGAAGTGTACGCTCTTTTTAAAAAGAGTTTTAGAGACGTTTCAGAGATGTCTATCTTTGATCGGCTGTCACAAAAAAATGACCCCCACTTCAATTTACAAGGAAAAATGAACTTACCAACTCCTTGTTGAAAAAATTGGAATTCATTTAACCGATACGCTGGTTGTTTCAATTTTTCTTTTTCCTCGGGCTGCTATGAAACAGTTCATAAATTGACTAATGAATAAAGTGTTTTGAAATACCGTTCGGGATTTGCCTTTTTTTTCTGCGTACAAATCAAGGGTAGACAAAGTTTTTAAACATTTGACTAGATTTTCATGGAGTTCACCTGGATAATTTTCGTCGGCCAGAGTCAAGACGCGCCAAGCTAAGCGACATAGCCCTCCAGTAAAAAAATTTTCCAAAGAATAAACGTGGCGAGCGCGAGGAAACGCACATTTGACGATAGTAGACTTCATCAAGGATTTTTTCAAGTAGGGTAAATAAGCTTGCTCATATACAAATAGTAAATAAGTTGTCTCTTTACTATTGAGGTCAGTGGATAGAATACGCCAGGTGCGCCTACGGTGTTATACATGAGTGACATTTTCCGGACGTTACATGTACGAGTACGTGATCCGTTTAAGGGTCACAGATTTAGTGTAAATATTTCACTCCTCAAAATCACCCAATGTCTCTAGTTTACAGAGGTCTTAGAACGTTTCATTATATGGAGTTGCCTTCTGCGGGTAGAAGGCTAGAAGCGAATTTCTCAGGCGTAATTGCCTTTGATTTCTCAATTGATGTTGTCGCAAACACAGTTTTTGGGAGTCACGAGACAAAAAAACTTATCAGAACCTAGTTTCATGTTCTAATGGAAATAAATAGCAAATAAAAACACATTTTCTTGAGAAATAAAGTCACAAATGACGGGGGTTCTCTGAAACAAATAGTGATAGAAGAGGATTTCAGTTCTGGTCAATATTGACTTTTCAAGGCCTAATTCCAAATCTGAGGGAACGTGCTGAGGGAATAAAAAAACATAAATGTGTGATAATGCAAGCAAGAGAATGAAAATACAAATAAAGAAAAAGGAGAAAACATAGGAACCCGTGTTGCAGCGTGCAGATATCTTTGAACCAGACCTACACACATAAGCCCGACACCAGCCAGGGAAACTCGAAAGAGTCCTGTATATGAACTAGCTAGCACATGCACGCAGGAAAGGCCATGACAATCAGCGAAAATAATAGCAAATGCAGATGACATTTGCATTCAAAAAACAGGAAAATAAGATCATAGAAGGATTAGGAACTTTCTAGAAGTGCCTTCTTGAAAAAAAAGATGAACAATTTTTACTTCTCATAAAAGGTCACGCAGTGACCCTACACTGTAAAATTAAAAGAGCTGATTTGGCCCCAAAAATGGGGCCAAAACGAGTGAGTCCAGTTTGGCACTAGCCTAGGGTCAATTCGGCCCCATTGAAAAGGGGCTGTTTTTGGCACCAATTTTGGGGCTGAATCGACCCCATTGTAGGGGCCAAATTGGACCACGTGAAGGGTGAATTTGAAAACTACAGGGGCCACTTTGAAATTTATAGGGGCCAAAACAGCCCCCAAAATTTCAGCCCTCTCACAAATGGCCCCTTTAAAAAGAGCCGATTCAGCTCCAATGTGAGCCCAATTCAGAAGTAGAGGGCTCTTTCCTCTGCACACTGATTTCCCCCCCTCACAATCAAATAATGAAAATACAACTCATATTTTATCTTTCAAACACTAATTTATTAAGTTCTAGGTATTGTTACTGTTAAAACCTTTTACAGACCATGATTTTCAAGTTATGAAGAATCTTAGACAAACATTTGAAAGAATAGGACAATAAATACATTTTTAACATTAATGCAACCAGTTTCTAAAATATATCTCTTCACTAAATCAGTATACTTCTCAAAATTGCAAACATTGCTAGAAATTTCACACGAGACACTTGTAAGTAAAGCTTCCCTTTTCATTGACTCAGCAAATGTGATAATGTGAGGCAGCTTATAATCAAGACTGACTGAATTTTTTGAAGTACAGAAAATTATCAAAATAACACAACAGCAACAAATTGTCCTGCTCCTGCATAAGAGTATAAATCTTGTTTGATTCTACCTCAGGCATTTGCCAAGTCATTGAAAAAGGAGGAAACAGTAACAAGAGTCTGCCCACGCCCAATTTCAAGCAATGCTTGCTCTAAAAAAGTCAAAATTGCCTTGACTGATTGTAGGAGACATTAAAAACATAAAATGAGCCAAGTAACCCAATGACAGCATCAATAATTTTTTCTTGTGGGAGCTGACAAATAATACTCCCCTCTGTGACTATATACAGGAGATCAATGTCATAAATATCTCCAACAATAACAATTTGTGGCTGGATGTAATCTATAACTGCTGAATCAACATCAGCTTCTCTCTGCAATAAAACAAATTTTACAACCATATTAAAAACAAGCCAAAGTGCAAAGGAGCATCAAAATTACTGGCTAGTCTGCTGGGTTCAGTTGGTCACTTTACCCTCATTTAATTTTACTCAAATGATATATATGTGGGATGTTTTTCTAAAACTATAAGCCAAAACATTAAAAAAGGAAGTGGAAATTTAGCTCAATGCTTTTAATTTGTCTTCCCTTCAAGCCTTGAAAAATACTACACGACTCCTAAAGTATCTGCGCATATCACAAATGTACATGTGGGGTGTTCAACCCCCAGGAAAAAGACATCAACTATTCCATGTGCAGTATTTATCTTATGGTTTGACTACAGCAAAATTAAAAAAAAAAAAAAATTGCTAAATCACAATAATGGAAAAAAAGAAGGAAAATAAATACAATCCCAAGGTACTTGAAGCTTAGTATCTGGACTTCATAGCTGGGCTGAATAATTTTAGCTGTTCTGTAGTATTTTTGTACCTAAGTAGCAGGTAGTAGTTTTATAAACTCTTACCTCCAAAATGGTCACAACTTCTTCTTGAAGTCCCCTTTTCTTTCCACTCCGCTGGCGCAGAACTTTGTTGATGACCAGCAGGGATGTCCTACTTTTAATTTCTGTAATTTAAATACAGAACAATTTGTTTTTTGCGAAAGTGGGAGACAGTAACCCCTATATAACAGCATACTTTCTAATCTAGCAGTCTTGATAAACTCTCCTTAAAGCCAGGGCTTATACAAGTTGTAAAATCAAAGGTGACTTCTAATCAGGTGTCTGTGACAGCAGCAGAATGTTTTACACAAATTAAGGTATAATACTTCTTTGTAAATGATTGAAAACCTCATTTTTACCTTCTCTGTTGCATCCCTCTTCACTAAGGGCAGCTTCCATTCCATCCATTACCTCATTGACCACCTTATCTTTGCTAGCAGCAGCATATTTTAGGATATGCTGCTGCCACATAAGGTATTTTTCCCGCAATTTGGTTGGGATGTTATCATCATTGAATATTCTACACAGCTCAGCTTTTAACTGCATTGAAAGGTAAGGCAGAAAACATAACATGTAAGTCGTCTTACTTGTCCGATGAATCTACTCTAGAGGTATTCATAACCACATGTGTACTGAGAATCCAGAGAGAGAAATGCTGTTCTTAAGGACTGTTCATGCCCTTAATAGGAACACAAATATATTGGTAAGGAACTTGCCTTTCATACAAACAAAATCCCTCTTCCCCCCCTTAAGAAAAAAAATTAGTACAATTGGGAAGCATATCATTTAAAAGTATTGGACTGCAATCTCTGACAGGTACCCTAGTATCAGCCAAAAGTTGGCCAAAAAACAAACAAACAAACCTGTAACTGGTTTACATTTATGACAGATACAAGCAATTTACAGCAAATACTTACATGGATGAAATATTTCAGAGATGGGTACTCCATCAACACAGCCTTCACCAATTTAGGGGCAGTTATGATTTCATGGCGGCGGAGGGGGAATGTTTTGTCCATGAAATCCTTATGAGCTTTGTGCTTTCGGGGGTTTCTCCTGACTTCATTGCGATTTTCCTCAGCAAAGGCTTTTAAAGTTGCCAGAGTCTCACCTGCAGGTAAGTCTGGCTGCTGTGCCCAAATACTGAAATCTTTTTTTTGCCTTTTGGCCTTAGAGGGACCAGCTTCAGCAGGATTGGCTGGATGTTTAGGTTTTTGGATTTTTTTCATCCTGTTGAAAATCTTGACCTCCAAATAGCCCTGGAAAAGGGTCAGGACATTGCATAAATTAATGCCTAATTTTTTTGCACATTTGTTAGTAAACTTTACTCAACTAATGATATTACTTTCAATGTGTGGAGTTCACATCATCTCAAGTTTTTCAGTTGGCACTGTATTCTGCCCCTTTCCCACTCTGTGCCTCCTAGCTGAACACTACACATCTAATTCTATGGTAGATATGTGTTATAATTATTGGTAACAGCCAATCACACTTAAGAACTTAAAAGATCAGAGTGATTACTCTGCACCTTCTAAGTTTAAGCCAAGAAATTCAGCACAAAAATTTCTATTTTTACCATAAGCAGAAGAAGCAAACTGATAGATTTTTAAACTTTACTAACCCATTCAGTGTCTGAGTCAACTAGTTTCTTGCCAGCCATACATGGATACTCTTCAACAATTTTTTTAGCTATCCATTGCCTCTCAGAGCGCTTTGGGTGGCTGGTGAAGTGGTTGATGCTTGTACAAACATCCCGGACCAATTCACTTTTCTGGTTTGCACTGAGGTATCCCTCCTGGATACCTAACTCTACTGAGGCAGAGAACTGTAAAAAAAGTAAACAAATGAACAAATTAATTTGTTGTTGGGGAACAGTAATTTTTGTGACTAGAAAGTTTCCATAAATGTAAACAAACTGTGCATAAAAGAGAAAAAACATAATCATACCTCGATGATATCAATAATGTACTTTCACCAAACTATGTACTTATCGAGAAAGAAAATCATACTCCTAGGCACTTCAGTTTTCATGAATTAACAAGGATTGCTTAAAAAAACTAAATAAAAAAAAACGGAAAAGTTTCTTACTCTCGATGGAAGCTGGAACTTTGATAGCCATCCAGGAGGAAGCTATAGGTAGAAATTTTTTTTTGAATAAATTAGACTGTCTGATAACATGTTATCAATTAAGTAATTTTTTAAGTTACCGAATTCACACATTAGGTTTACTTTGTTTTATGCATAGTGGACGTAAATACATATCTAGTATATTTCAATAAAAATTAGCAGATCTCACCGTTTTTGACGGCTGTTTTCCCCGACATTTCTCTTCTTTAACGGACCAACTGGCACCTTGTGTTTTTTCCTTTGGGGTAAAATAGGAAGAAAGGAATTGATAATGTACTCTTCACTATCCAGCCATCTTCACCATCTTACCCCATAAGAACTTACTTTAGCAATGCCCAGTTCTATCGCCTCGTCCATGATACAAAAATCCTTGGGCGATTTTCTCTTTTCATTGGGTGTCGATGTTAGTTCTAAATTTTCATCATCGCTGGTGTTTTGTGAATCGTCAGTCGACGTGTAAAACGAATTGCTTGTAGAACTTGATTCTGCACACTGAAAGAGAAAGAGCAAAAAGTTCAGCTTAGTGGAGACAAACTAAGATATGGACATAAAAATAACAATTAATTTTTTTAAGGACAAGTTTAAGAATTCGGAGTCAGGAATCCTAAAATCAGAGAGTCTTGAAAGAAGTCAAGTTCATCTTGTGCAAATGCAGTATCCGTTTTGAATTCTAACCGTCTCTATCTCTCGGCGCCAAAATGAGAACACATGACTTTAGTTGTGAAACCGCTGAGAGTCAGGGGAATCACGCATGCGTCCAATTCTTTGGCGGGAAAATTAATTATCTTACCGACGAAGAACTCGCACCATCTCTAGGTTCAGCGTTCATCAAGATCAATTTCTTGAATTTTAGTCGCTCTTTTACTAAGGGAAAGTAGTGCCTCAGTTCTTCTACATATTGGACAATGCCGAGGAGATCTTCACCGTCCAAACCGTCCTTTTCTGCAAGATAAGATACGAACAAAGATCAGTGAAGGAGTCAAGTTTGTGTACATAAAATTGCAATAAAATGTGTTGTTAAGCAAATTTCTTTCGCTTACCTATCCTCTCTAAAGTCTCTGGAGAAAATCCATGCGACTGGAGCCAAGAAACAACCTCCTCACCACTGTAGTTCATTATTGAGTCCGACGCACGAGGTCTAGCTAGGTTCGTTCGACTAATGAGATACGAAGGAGCTGCAGAGACGCACCAGCAAAAGAAGGACGAATTTTGGAGGGAAATCGCTTTTATAACAAAATTTTAATCATTAAAAAGTTCACAGTTTTAAGTTGAGTAAACCAATCGTTAGCTGCGGTTTCGTTCGAGTTAAAGATCTACCAGTTTACCCCTCAACATTCCCGAATCCCTACGTCCTTGTGGCGTTTAAGTTGTGATGGGTATTCCGTGTAACATGTGCAATGCTGTCCTTGACAATTTTGGACTAGTTATCAGCCATTTCAGGCGGGTACATAGAGAAGATCCTAATTTCTTTGTTACATGTGGCATTAATGGATGTGGAAGAACTTACAAGAAATTTTATGGGTACAGAAGTCACGTACACAGAGTGCACAGAGGATTTCTACGAGTTGCACGTGACGTTAAACAACCTCAGGATTTAGTGCAAGATATTGAGCCTGAAGAGCAAGCTGGTGATTTGCTTATTGATGAAGCACTTTTTGAAGAAGACAAAGACGATATTCAAAGTGAACAGTCAAGAAACACGAGTGCAGCATATCTTTTGCGAATCAAGGAAACACACAATCTCTCACAAAAAGCTTTGGATGACATTGTACAGAGTACCAGTTCTCTTGTCTCTACTGCTGTTAAGTCAGTATGTATAAATATTGCCAATAAGCTTTTGAATATGGAGGAAGAGGAAAATCATGTGATGCAAAACATAACATGGCAAACTTTATTTGAGGAAAATTCTGAGAAGGCAAGCCCATTTCAAAACCTTGAAACAGAAAATAGACAAAAACGAGCATTTAAAGAAATCTTTGGTCTTGTTGTAAGTATAAGAAATTAAGTATATTGTACAATTTAGTATTTCCTTTTTAATAGTAAGGGAGTAAATCACTATTTTAATGAAAAGAAAAGCACCTTAACATACAGCTGTTAAAGACACCAAATTCTGCTTACAATGTTCAAACATGCCTAAACAATTTATAGTTGTAATACCAGAGACAGAAATGTGCAGTCTTTTCTCTTGTTTTATACCAGCTAGGGCTATGCTTGAACCAGCTAGCTAGGCTAACTTAGATGTTTCTGTACCAGTATGATATTTTGTTGGAATGTAATATATCAACATGCATTATGTAATGTCCCCTGAACAGGAACCTGTGAAACGTGTGCTTGGAAACTTCCATGGTCATCGACAGAAAGGTCCAAAAAGAAGAAGGGTTCAACTAAATGATGAAGTCATTGAGATCCCTCTTCTTGAAAGTTTAGAGCAGTGGTTGAACAACCCCTCAATTTTGAAACAGGTAAACAGAAATTATGGTGAAGTCAATCTACACTTTGCCATACTTGTTTTATCATAGGGGAACTTAGTTTTATGTGGACCAGTTCTTTAACTTGTGGGAATTTGCCTAGCTGGTAATTTTCCATTACTTTGCCCAGTGGTATTCTTAAATTTTGATAAAGGTGGAATGTTAAATGTGGTGATTTATTTGTAAATTCTTACGAATTGTTTCTGAACAGGTGGAAAACTCACATCAACGACATGATGAGATGATTGCTGATTATTGTGATGGTCAGGTTTACCGCCAGCACCCTCTTTTCTCTAGGGACCCACATGCTTTACAGATTATATTGTATTATGATGATGTTGAAGTTGTGAATCCACTGGGCAGCAAAACCTCAAAACATAAAGTTGGTAATGAGATATTTTTATTTCACTATACTGTCACAAGTCATGAGACATTCATGCATGTACCTCAGAGAGTAAGGAAAGGCATTTAGGTGTAGTTGTTTCACAATTAAGATTCAACCAGTTCAGATACTTATTTGATGTCATAATCAATTAACCTTTGTAAGCATGCTAAATGTTGCATACTATTTTAGGCGTTTTTTACTATACTCTTGGGAATATTGACCCTAAGTACCGATCCCAGCTAAAGGCAATGCAGCTTCTGGCAATTGCAAAGAGAACTGTGATCAAGAAGTATGGATGCAATGAAATTCTTCAAACATTCATGACAGAGCTCAATCAGTTAGAGCAGGTGAGAGTTGAATAATGACCACAGTGTGCAGTACATTCAATATCTGTTGTAGAGTAAACTGAAAGTATAGAAATGCAACAGACTTTAAAAATGTTGTATTAGTCTTATTTGTATTGTATATATTGGACAGATTAGGGCTTGACTATCAACATCCTATTTTTTTATTTGATCTATATTTATTTCCTAAGGATGGAGGATACCAGTTTACCATAAATGGGGAAAGAAAGTCTTTGAGAGGAACCATCAGCTTTGTTTCCGGTGATAATTTGGCATCCCAGGAGATTGGAGGCTTTAAAATTGGAAGCTGTTCTGCACTGAAGTGCAGAGTTTGCATGGGAGATGCAAATGATGTGGCTTCAAAGGTAATATGATGAAATAAAAGATGAACTATTTTTCCACTGACAATATAATAAGTTTTGTTAATCTACATGCAGCTGTCTAAATCTCTTCCCATTCACTTTGCACTCTGCTGCCTACTCATAAGTTTTTTTCTAGGCTTTTGCTCATTGTGATAACTTTTGGCTTAACTTTCCCAGCAGCCATGTGAGAACCATTCTATGTAGAACCAAAGATACTCCCCTCTATTAATGATTAAACCACCTGATCCTGTGACTTACCATGAAAAAACTGTGTTGTAAATCGTGTCTTATAGAGTTTGTAATTGAAGAGTGGTGTTGAAATCCAATAACTTTCTCATTATTCCCCACAGTTTGTGGAAGACGATTTCCAATTACGCACCAAAGAAATGTATGATCAGCAGTGCACAGCCATTGAAAATTCAGTCATTGACATTTCTTCACAGTTTGGAATAAATCTGAGATCAGCCCTGAACCAGTCACGATACTTCCATGTCATAGAAGGTCTTCCGGGTGATGCAATGCATGATGTCCTTGAGGGGCTTCTTCAATATGAAGTCAAAGAACTCCTCAAATATGCTATATATGAGCAGCAGTTTTTCACTTTGGAAAATTTAAATTGTTGGATTAAAAATTTTGATTATGGTTATCCAGATGTTTCCAACAAACCATGTGTTATATCAAGTGCCACCCTAAATTCCAACACTAATTCTCTCAAACAAAAAGGTAAAACTGCATTATTAGTAGCTTCATTCGTACAACATGCTTTATCCAGAGATACAGTCTTAGCTTTGAAATCATTGCTTGTAACTCTGACACAAGATACATTCGTCATCATTGCATTGTCACCCTAGTGTACACTGTTAGTATTAATTTTGTAAACAAAAGGCTGTCTTTTTGTCCATTTTTATTGTTATGGTAATATTTGAACTGCAAGTTACAGTAATTCAAAATTTTCCAAACATTTGCCATGTGTTTAACATCATGATCCTACCATTCTGGTATATTTTTTAAAAGTAATGGAATATTTTGGTAAATGATCAATGGCACTGATACATATATATATTTTATTTATTTCACTCATGAAATTGATAAAACTGTGTTTTGGTAGCTCTGCTGATCATAATGTGATTTTAGCTTCACAGATGTGGTGCCTTGGCCGTTTCCTTCCATTGATGATGGGCAGCCATATCCCTCGTGATGATGAGAAGTGGGGTCTCTTCTTAAATCTTTTGGAAATTGTGGACATTGTTTTTGCTGATGCAGTCACACTTGATAAAGCAGCTTACTTAAGGGATTTAATCACAGATCACCATACTAGCTTTACCCAGTTGTACCCAAATTCCTCTGTGATTCCAAAGATGCACTATATTCTTCATTACCCCAGGACAATGGTAAGGTAAGTTGGAAATTAAAAATATTTTAACTTTTCTTTTGATGGGTGATAATTTTGTGACATAAATCTTTGTGTTATTGTTTGTGTTTTCCAGTAGTTATCTATAGTACATGTAAGGTTGATCATTGAAAAAGGAAAAAATGTAAATATGTAGCATTTTGATATTTAAGGCTTGGTCCAATGGTACGGTCCTGGACAATGAGATTTGAGGCAAAGCATGAAAGACTCAAACGGCTGGCCACATCCCTTGGCAATTTCACCAATATTCCTTGGACACTGGCTCTTCGTCATCAGTTGAGGCAGTGCTATGAAATATCAGGCACTAAGCATGGTCATCCATCAATTGAAAAGTCTTTGGAAGTAGGCCCAGGTATTTAATTACAACCATTTTATTTTCCACTGGTCTGAAAGTATGCTGACATTCATATGTGCATGTGAATTTGCCTGTGACAATATAGACATATACTATGTGTATTTATCTAATGGGGGTCCTTAGGACCAACAATTCTGCTTTTATTTATTTAGTGTAGAGACCATTCATTGGAAAAAACTGCCACAATTATTTTTTGTCAACTTGTAGCCAATAACCTTTAAGCCTGCTGTCTAATTAGATATGTTATGCCTTTTAAAAAAAACAAAGACAGTTATTGTAATATTATGAGGTTATTATTGCCATTTCCAGGGACTCAGAAAGAAGCTAACAGGGCAGCATACTTCAACATGCTTTTTGAGAAGCTTGATACCCTGGAAGGTGAAGACCTAATTCATGAGTAAGTAATTTCATTTAATGCAAACACCATTCAATTGCAGATTTTAAACTAGGTGAAGCAGAATTAACAACTTTACATAGAACAAGTAATGTAAAAAAAAATAATTCTGTATTAAGAATACAAATATTTACATGTGCTCAGGGTATTCAATGGTAATTTTTTGACAATTGCACTTTTGTTGTAGTTTTTTGTTCTTGGACAACCCATCTTTTTCATCTTTTTTGACGGTTGTATTTTTCAGGGCAAAATGGTGCATGGTCTTTGGTACCAAATATAAAAAAGGTGCAGCTGTCCACACAGGAGGAGATGGGCTCTTACCACAGTTCTCACTGATAGACAAAATTGTGACAGTTCCTGGGAAAGATGCTTCACAGGTCTTTTTTGTTTTGAAAGAAATTGTTACCCATAATTATGAAGTCCACTTGCATGCATATCATGTGAAGGTTTTAAATGATGGAGCAGTCACTGTCAGGAGCCAAGAAGAACTCACAACATTTAGGCCTTTGCATATTTGTAGAAGTATTGGGGACAATCAATCCAGTTTTATCTGCCCTAAAAGTGATGTGGATGTTTACAATGAGCAGATATAGAAAAGGTGTCTGCAAATGATCTTGGAAAGGTGTACTGAGTATATGTCAGCAATCAAATATGATTTTTTGGATTATGTCTGGAACAGGCTGTCATATTTTGAAAAGTGCATTGAATATAGATGGGCAAAAACAACTGTTTGCTTTTAAAGGTATTGTATATAAAACTGCTTGTGAAATGACTTGTAAATAGCATTGAAGCTTTTGTAAAATAAGTTGTAACCTAGTGATAATCATGGATTAATAAAGAGCATTTGATATAGCTTAGGAATGGGTATTTTAGTCTCTGTGTTTTCAAAATCCATTATATAATCAAACCTATGAACACAGAATAGTAGCTTGGCTCACTGTTCTGATTTTCAGTGACTTAGTTTGTTCAATCATATGGTTATCTTTAGAAATTTTGAATAACATCCAAACCAAAGTGATTCTAGATGCCCTCATGAGATCAAGGCCAGATGGCATCAAAGAGCTGAAATGATCCACACCTGTGGGATTTTCTTAAACCGACATGGCTGAAAAAATGACAAAAATAATAAGCATCTTCCTATGTCAAAAGCAAAAGTAGAGCAAAAACTAATGACCTTACTCACTGTGTTTACTATTATTGTACTTATTTGGGGCCAAATTGGTCAATCCTACTTGGCTCTTGGAGGGGCCAAATTGAGAAAAAGTTCCAAAGTAGAATTCATAGGGGCCAATTCAGATTTTGGAGGGGCCAATTCAGATTTTGGAGGGGTTGAAATGGTACCTGTTCCGCCCGTTTTGGCTCAAATAGTCCAAAACGAACCTCGATGGGCCAAATTGGCCCTCAAGAAATTGGGGCCAATTTGGCTTTTGGGGTCAATTTGGCTCTTTTCATTTTACAGTGTACAAATACTATTCCTATACGTGGAATTTCTTGATGGTGGAAAGTGGAAAAAACATTTTCCAGTCTTATTTTCTGGAAACATGGCGTAGTTAATGAATTCATGGGGCTATTGATATTTCCTAACAAATAAGGAGGGCAGAGTTTCCCGTCAGTCGCGGTATGGAAAAGCCGAAGTTGTTACACTCGGGAACTTTTACGTCAACAAGCAGGCGACATCAGACTTTAAAATCTCCTCTCCTGTTACAGTTTCCTTATCGTAAACTGTACGATAATGATAATAGACGATCAAAGTATAGTCTAATGAATTTTTGTTCTGTACAAGAGCCCTATGTCCTGATTTTAGCAAATCTTCAAAGTAATAAACGACTGAAGAAAGAAACGCTACGATCTTCCCATTGATCTTCCGTCAACATGCATCTCTCTAAACGTGAAATTTTCCATTCCTACGAAAAACCTCGAAAGTTTTTTCACAGTTTTCACCTTTCTTGACCAATCAACTTGTATAAAGAGCTAAAAATGTAGGTTTATTTTGTCAAGTGACCGCCTAGAGCAAGAATTGCGTGACAGGTGTAGTTGAGAGAAACTTGTCACAGTCGCAGATTTTAAAAGGTATCCAAGACAAAAAAATACGGTAGTGCCCAAAGATTTTTTGATGATTTTCAGAGATGAAATGATGGGTTATAAAGGGTAATTAAGATTAGTGTTGTAGCTTTCTGGCAACGGGAGATATTTGACCTCAAAGTTGTAAAATATTTAGATGAATCGAAAAGTCTAAAACCAAAGTCGTATATTTGCCTCTGTTCATTGACAAGCCGTCAATCAAACTGACTGATACTCGCGGCGGCCATTAACTAAGGATGTAAAAATATGTGTGCAAATTCTCAAAGTAATCAGTTAAATACCATCGCAGTTAAAGCTTCATAAATTTTACCTATTTGAAGCGATTTCCTTGGTGAAAACCAAGAAAAACCGGGGGGGTGGTCTATATCCACCCGGAAAAAATCAAAACAGAAACCAGTCTGTTTTTTTGAGTTTTGGGGTAGACCCTTTAAACTGACAAAGTTTCTTTGAAATCGGCGAGATGGCATGTAGCGCGACTACCCGGTGCTCTCGTGGACGCGCTCTTAAGTCACTATCTAGCTGTTTTAAAAAGAAGGATCAGGACTTACCTAACTTTTAGTGTTTTTGTGGGAGTTGTTGATCCCAATTTAAGTGTTCTTAGAAGTTTCAGTTGTCTGTAAAGCTAAATAAATCTAACTGAAACCTAATAGGGCCTGTTTATTCTTTTCCGTTTAGTTTTTTTGCATTGTTTTGTTTTGCCTTTTTTTTTTCTTCTGGTCTGTAATGATTTCAATGGTTTCAGGTTCTTTTCTCAGAATTGAGCTACAGTAACAGTATGCTTCTTTGTGTTGTTGCCTACAGGAGCCGCTGCTTGTATTGAATTGAAGAGATTTGAAGAAGCAATCACTTGGTGTGATAAGGGACTAGCTGTATCCTTTGAAGGAATCTTTCATTTCTAACCGTGCGTATAATGGAAAAAAGTTTCCAGCTCATATACTTTCAAGGCAGAAAATACAAAGAAAGAAAGAACAAAGAACTTGTCAGCTCATATACTTTAAGTGTGTGTGATTAAAAACATAGGAGAAGTTATTACCTCATGACTTATTAATGAAATTACTCCTTTTAGCCAATTTGACTTAGTTCTACTATCCATGCCAATAACTGGTACATTAGTTTAAATAACCCTTTAATTTCCCAGACCAAATTTGTAATTATCCTTATAGTCAGCCATACAATTCTTGTAATGTTAGTACAGAGAATTCAGTATTGCATCAACTAACTATTTTGAAATTGATATATTTTTTTTTTACTCTCAACACTTATCTGATTGATATTGTATTGCTATTGTAAGGAGAAATTCTCTTTTGGTCACTCACGGGAGTTAAAGGGTTAGAAGACTAATATTCATCCAGTTTATACATAGTACTTGGGTAGATGATCTCTCTAAAACAAGCCAGAACAAAAAGCTCTTTATTGTTTACATATCTTATGCAGATTTTCTGCCTTCGACCTTTGGCTTCTAGTTAGAGACTCAGAAACTTTCGTTGTGCTTTCCTATGGACAAATAAAAATTTTAAAGATATGTATTTATTTTATATATTTTTGTTTTTTCCACATTTTTAACCCTTCACATAAAAAAGATTGACAAAAACAATAGGATCTTCTCGTCATTAAGACTTCAGTCTATCAGTGAAGTGGGAGATAAGTCCATGGAGGAAAAAGATCCTATTAGTCATGACCACGGTAGTGCAAGTTCAGGTGATGTCAAGAAAGTCATAGATCTCTATAATCAGGGAAAAGAAGCCATAGAGTACAACAACCTACATCTTAAAATAGCTAAAGAAGTAGGAGACAAGCATGGGGAGGGTAACGCTTATGGCAATCTTGGCAATGCTTATGACCGTCTGGGTGATTTCAAAAAAGCCATAGAGTACCACAACCTAGATCTTAAAATAGCTAAAGAAGTAGGAGACAAGCATGGGGAGGGTAACGTTTATGGCAATCTTGGCAATGCTTATCTTAGTCTGGGTGATTTCAAAAAAGCCATAGAGTACCACAACCTACATCTTAAAATAGCTAAAGAAGTAGGAGACAAGCATGGGGAGGGTGTTGCTTATGGCAATCTTGGCAATGCTTATCTTAGTCTGGGTGATTTAAAAAAAGCTATAGAGTACCACAACCTACATCTTAAAATAGCTAAAGAAGTAGGAGACAAGCATGGGGAGGGTAACGCTTATGGCAATCTTGGCAATGCTTATCTTAGTCTGGGTGATTTCAAAAAAGCCATAGAGTACCACAACCTACATCTTAAAATAGCTAAAGAAGTAGGAGACAAGCATGGGGAGGGTGGTGCTTATGGCAATCTTGGCAATGCTTATCTTAGTCTGGGTGATTTAAAAAAAGCTATAGAGTACCACAACCTACATCTTAAAATAGCTAAAGAAGTAGGAGACAAGCATGGGGAGGGTGTTGCTTATGGCAATCTTGGCAATGCTTATGACCGTCTGGGTGATTTCAAAAAAGCCATAGAGTACCACAACCTAGATCTTAAAATAGCTAAAGAAGTAGGAGACAAGCATGGGGAGGGTGGTGCTTATGGCAATCTTGGCAATGCTTATCTTAGTCTGGGTGATTTCAAAAAAGCCATAGAGTACCACAACCTAGATCTTAAAATAGCTAAAGAAGTAGGAGACAAGCATGGGGAGGGTGGTGCTTATGGCAATCTTGGCAATGCTTATCTTAGTCTGGGTGATTTAAAAAAAGCTATAGAGTACCACAACCTACATCTTAAAATAGCTAAAGAAGTAGGAGACAAGCATGGGGAGGGTGTTGCTTATGGCAATCTTGGCAATGCTTATGACCGTCTGGGTGATTTCAAAAAAGCCATAGAGTACCACAACCTAGATCTTAAAATAGCTAAAGAAGTAGGAGACAAGCATGGGGAGGGTGGTGCTTATGGCAATCTTGGCAATGCTTATCTTAGTCTGGGTGATTTCAAAAAAGCCATAGAGTACCACAACCTACATCTTAAAATAGCTAAAGAAGTAGGAGACAAGCATGGGGAGGGTAACGCTTATGGCAATCTTGGCAATGCTTATCTTAGTCTGGGTGATTTCAAAAAAGCCATAGAGTACCACAACCTAGATCTTAAAATAGCTAAAGAAGTAGGAGACAAGCATGGGGAGGGTAACGCTTATGGCAATCTTGGCAATGCTTATCTTATAATAATAATAATAATAATAAGGACTTTATTTATAGAGGGGGACACGTAACAGCTGAAAAGCTGACAAACCTGTGGCCCTCTAACTAGATTATACAGCATTACAAAATAATACTAATAAATAGATAAATATACAAATAATTACAAAATTCTATGATAGAAATAGCAGGATATATTAAAAATATTCAGAAAGATAAAATTAATTTATAAAAAATTAAAATTAGATAATGTGCTATTGCTTAATATTGTTTCAAAGTTGTCCAGGTTTCTATATGAGCTTATAAAATACTTTTTCACAGCTGTTTTGAATAGTTTTATACTAGGCTTATTTTTGATATTATGGGAAGGCTGTTCCATAACTTAACTGCGTCAACACTGAATGCCTTGCCACCATCGTTATTTCTTAGGTATTTGGGACACACTAAATTTAAATTGCCATGTCTAGTAGACCTATTGTGTACAGAACTGTTCGTCTTGAGCAAGTCTCTGATGTAAATCGGAACATCGCCTTTAAGGCTCTTAAAAATCATTGTACACTTATTTAGTTTGATTTCATCAAAAAAGGCAACCAGCCTAGTTTACTAAAGTTTATAACACTTCTAGAATAAGAGTCAACTCCAAGGATTACTCGGGCAGCCCTTTTCTGTAACCTTAGGAGACAGTGGAGTTCTTTAGCGTCGCAGATATTCCAAACCATGCTCCCATACATAAGGACGGGTTTAATCAAGGCGTTATAGTATAAGAGTCTTTCTTTTATTGGAAGGTACCCTTTTATCTTCTTCAATAAACCAATACGCTGAGAAAGCTTGGCCTTTAGACTAGAAATGTGGTCGCTAAATGTAAGATCTTGATCGAGTGTTACACCAAGCAATTTATAAGAAGTTACTTGTTCTATTTCGGCCCCATCAAGGGTTATTGACAGGTGATTGCCTTCCGCTAATGATGAATGTAGCCTCTTTCCGGTGATAAGTAATGCATTGGTTTTAACGGCGTTTAGGACCATCCCATTTTCGCTAGACCATTTACTTAATTTATCCATGTATTCTTGAAGACGTCGTTCCAATTCCAAAGGTGCATTATCGATATTAGCGCTGGCTTTAAATGTGGTGTCATCCGCGTAAGCATGAATAGTTGAGTCCGATCCAACAGCTTCGGGAAGATCATTGACGAAAATTAAAAAACAGTAGAGGTCCTAATATGCTACCTTGAGGAACTCCATTGGTTAGCGTAAGTTGTGACGAAGTCGAGTTATTTACAGTAACACACTGTTTGCGATTGAGTAGATAGCTCTGCAATAGCTTTTACAACATTATCTGGAAATCTATATGATCTTAACTTTATCAGGAGAATGTCATGATTGATCAAGTCGAATGCCTTGCTATAGTCCACAAAAAACTAAGCCGCTGACGTTGTTCTTATCAAGGTCAAGAAGGACTTGGTCCAGAAGAAACAACAAAGCAGTATCCGTGGAGTGGTTTTACGGAACCCTGATTGGAAGCGGTATAAAAGTGAATTTTCTGTTAAGTAGGTGTTCACAGCATTGAAGATGTGTCTTTCAAAGACTTTAGAAAGAATAGGCAAAATGCTAATAGGACGATAGTTTTGAATATCTTGCTTGTTTCCTTGATTCTTGAAAAGAGGTTTAACCTTTGCTATTTTCCATTGTGAGGGAAATGTACAAGTTTCAATACAGTGATTTATAATTTTAGCTATGGAGCATGATATTTCAGGAGCTGCAATCCTTAGAACTCTGGCACCAAGCCCATCGATTCCCGTGGCTTTGTGTGTAGGTATACTTAGAAGATAATCGTTAACCTCACTAGGAGTTATTTGCGGAATAAGATTTTCAATTTGACTGTTAGATTTGTCTGGTGGACCAGGAAGAGCATCATAATGAAGTACAGGTGTCGACTTTATGAGACGTTTATATACATCAACGAAGAAGCGGTTAAAGCGTTCAGCGATTGAATGGTCATCCTTTATCAAGTTGTTGTTTTCGTCAGCAATAGGGACGGAGTCGTCGTTATTCTTTGTATCTTTAGATAGGTCTTTAATTAAAGACCAAAGTTTCTTTTGGACATTTTTGATTTTTACTGAACTGAGTTTTAAAGTACTGTTCCTTCGCATTTCTTAGTTTCCTCGTCACTTTGTTTTTAACCAGTTTAAAAGCAGACCAATCTTGCTTATTTTGTGTTCTCCTGGCCCTCTTTAGAAGATTATCACGTTTATTTATTTCGTTGTATAGATCATTAGTGAACCATTTTGGCTGATTGATTTTCTTCACACTCTTGGACTTTAAAGGTGCGTGATTATCAAGAATGTCATTAAAGATTTTGTACCAAGATTCAACAATGTCATCGGCATCTCGAAAAACAAAGGAGATATCCCAAGGGGCTTCTCTGAGGTCTCGCAGAAAGCACTCTTTGTTGATTTTGTCGATATTTCTGTATTTGATTTTGGAATGTTGTTTACGTTGTGCATCCATGGTTTTGTAGCACCTCAAGATGGTGACCGGAAGGTGATCGGAAAGTCCAGATTTACCTATGGATACTTCTCTAATTCTAGCAGGATGACTAGAATAAATATGGTCTAAGCACGCATCAGAGGCAGGTCTTGTTACCCCATTTACCATCTGCGTTAGTCCAAGACTGTTCAGTGCCTTTGCGAGACAATGTTTTGAATAACAGTTGAAATCAATATAATCCAAATTAAAGTCTCCCAGAATAATCAATTCATTGTTTTGGAGATGGGCATTTTCAATATTTTTACCCAAGCTCTCATTATAATCTTTGTTGGCTGAAGGTGGACGGTAAACACCAGATATCAAAATCGGTCTCTTTGATTTATGAGGACAAATTTGAAGCCAGAGAGTTTCAAGATCATCCAGTTCCAAATCTTAGTCTGGGTGATTTCAAAAAAGCCATAGAGTACCACAACCTAGATCTTAAAATAGCTGAAGAAGTAGGAGACAAGCATGGGGAGGGTAACGCTTATGGCAATCTTGGCAATGCTTATGACCGTCTGGGTGATTTCAAAAAAGCCATAGAGTACCACAACCTAATTCTTAAAATCGCTAGAGAAGCAGGAGACAAGCATGGGGAGGGTAACGCTTATGGCAATCTTGGCAATGCTTATCTTAGTCTGGGTGATTTAAAAAAAGCCATAGAGTACCACAACCTACATCTTAAAATAGCTAAAGAAGTAGGAGACAAGCATGGGGAGGGTGTTGCTTATGGCAATCTTGGCAATGCTTATCTTAGTCTGGGTGATTTCAAAAAAGCCATAGAGTACCACAACCTACATCTTATAATAGCTAAAGAAGTAGGAGACAAATCCTCGGAGGCAATAGCCTACTGTTCACTAGGATTGGTTTTTGAGTTACAAGGTAGACTGCCAAAAGCCGTTGAACATTACCAAGCTAGCATAAACTTATTCAATTCCTTGAGAGTACTTCTAATATCTAAAGATGAGTGGAAAGTTAATTTTCGAAATCAGCATCAAGTGGCGTATACGGGTTTGTGGAGAGTTCTCGTAGAACAAGGTAATGTAGATGAAGCCTTATTTGTTGCTGAGAAAGGACGAGCTCAAGCTCTGACCGACCTCATGGAATCCAGTTTTTGTGGTGGAACAAGTCACCACAAGGGAGAAGATGAAGATTGCGCAGTTTTAAAAAACGTTCCATCGAACACTGTCTTTCAGGCAGTGGACAAAGCTAACGTCAATCTTTGGGTTGTGTCCGAAGGAAAACAAGTTCAGTTAAGACAAAGTAAACTCAAAGGTTTTGTTTCAGAGAATAGTGGATCTAGCCTGTCCTTTGAGGCGTTCATGCTCGATGTCTATACACAACTTGGTGTTCGTTCTAATGTGAGATGCGAGAATCGATCTTTAGATGCTTTGAGGGAGGGCCGTTCGAAAGTGGATGAGAAAACCAAAGAAGCCAAGCCTCAACCTCACATCCAACAAGACGGATGCTTGAGCACTTTGTATGATATCGTTATGAAGCCGGTGGCTGACTTGATTGAAGGGGATGAGCTACTCATTATTCCTGATGGACCCCTGTGGATCGCTCCTTACGCTGCATTGAAGGATGGTAATTCTAAATACCTGTGTGAATCGTTCACAATCCGAGTCGCTCCATCGTTAGCAAGTCTTAGACTCATTGCCGATTGCCCAGATGATTATCACAAAAGCAGTGGTGCGTTACTTGTAGGAGATCCGTGGGTATCCGAGGTTACTAACAGCGAGGGAAAGAAAGTCTTCGAGCAGCTTCAGTATGCTAAAAAAGAAGTAGAAATGATCGGAAACATTCTGAATATCACGCCGATCACTGGAAGTCAGGCCACGAAATGTGAGGTGTTGAAGAGACTCAGTTCCGTTTCCCTAGTTCACTTTGCGGCACACGGATGTATGGAAACTGGCGAAATTGCTCTTACACCTGACCCAGACCGAATATCTACTGTGCCAACGGAGGAGGATTACATTTTAACAATTGGAGATGTGTTGAATGCTCAACTTCGGGCCAAACTTGTTGTGCTTAGTTGCTGCCACAGCGGCCGGGGCGAGATCAAGGCTGAAGGTGTGGTTGGCATTGCGCGCGCTTTTATGGGGGCTGGTGCTCGGTCTATTGTGGTGTCCCTGTGGGCGATTGATGACGAGGCTACTCTTGAGTTCATGAAACACTTTTATCAACAACTTGCAGGAGGTAAACCAGCAAGCGAGTCACTGAACCTGGCCATGAAAAGCCTCAGAGAATCAGACAAGTTCTGCGACATCAAACACTGGGCGCCCTTTTTGCTGATTGGAGATGACGTCACTCTTGACTTCATGGCAAAGGAAAGAGGAAATTTGAATATGAAATCACATAAATGAAAACTTTTTAGTTCATCTCAAAATGAATGACGCAGGAACTTGGAAGGTTTAAATGCTTCTCTATTTTGGCGCTTTTTGGCTATTTTTCATTACTTTTTCTTTTTTTTGTTAAATGGAACTTGAGATGTGTGACTTTACTTTGGTGAAGAAATAAAACAGACTATTTCAGTATATTTTGTTCAGTGGAATTGCTATTTTTTTACCTTTACAAATTTAGGTGCTTGCGAAGAGAACAAGATGCAACAAGGCTTCTGCTGTTAATGCCTGAAGTTGTTGAAGGCGACTACGAGGTTTTCGTTTCGCCAAAATGACACTCGGATCTGTTCCTTTATTGCAATCAGTTATGTGTAAAAAATAATTAAAAGGTTTTTTTTCTTGTACACAACCAAGAGCTTGTCCACCGGGTTTTAATTACGTAGATACTCTAAGCTTTTGATAAGCAAAGAAACAGCTTGTAATTTGCAAAAGGTGGCGAAATTTTAATTTCAAAATGTGATTTGCAAAATTCTCAGGCATATGTGAATTGATCTTAATGGTTTTTCTACGTCATAAATTACTTTGTTGCAATTTGCAATTATCTTTACAAAAAAGTTGATTATCATTTTCAACTTTTTTTCAATCTAATTCCATCAGTGCCAAGATTGCCATTCTAAGCTTAATTTGAAGAAGTAATCACCAGAGATGATGTTGTTGAATTTACTAACCATATGTTAGAGACATTAGACCTACTCTCAGGGGGGTGTGGCCAGCCTCTAGTCCCGTGGGCCCGGCCTACAATTGTTTTCCGCCCGCTTGACTTTTCTAATATGACTCTTACAAATGTTGAAACAAAAATTGAAATTTCTCAGGAAAAAAGGCCTACAACAAGTCAAAGAGCTGGCTACAACGGCCTGCTTTCAATCAACGAGAGTTTGATCAGTTTTAGTCCGTTTTATCAAACACTCATCAGTTTGCTTTTTAGAGAACGACGATAGAGACAAATTGTCGATGTAATCTAAGCAAGGAAATAGCGAAGCAGAGTTTACTTTAACTGAAGTTTCCATTGCTGTGACTTTTAATGTAGGTGACATGGAATTTGTTGTTTTCATTAGGAAAATATTTACGCCAATAAATTAGGGAAACACTTGAAGTAAGCCATGTAGTCCTCAATGGGAATTATTTTGGTGAAAATGTTCATGAATAAATGTAAATCTAGGCCGTAGTTAAAAAGGTTCAGGGCTTCAGGATAAAACTTGCATTTTTTGAAAATTTCCTGTTCAATTTTTTTTTCATGGCTTTAAATTTACCTTAGTATAATTTGGAGATGTCTGATGATATCTTTCTTAGATTTAAGAATTTATACTTAGGTATTCAGAGCACGCTGTGTAATTAGAACCCGTTATGTGGTCAAAAGTTTAAGGTATACTGTATCACAGCTGTTTTAAAAGAAAGTTTTGTAAAATCAATGTTAATTTTTGACAGATTTTCATAACTACCATTGGTATATGCTGCCAGTATAAAATGTAATAGTTAACCTTGCACATGGTTGAATATGATGTAACGTAGGATTTTAAAAACAAGCTGGGACAATTTCCACTAAACATTCTTTTTTATAATGTCAGTGTATTTGGTGTGAATTGTTTTGATGCTATTTGTATTTAAAGTTGAAGCTATTTGTTCATTTACCTAAGTTTTTATTCATTGACTCATTAACTCCCAAGTTGTGAAGAAAAAATTCTCCCAACTGATAAGAATGTGTTTCTTTGTTGCTTCATTCTGAGAATTCGATAAAACATAACGTTTCTAGTGAAAAATAATCCGCTAGTTTAGATTTTCTCTAATTCTTATTGACACCATGTTTGTCGGTGCATTAATTTTGTGAGGAGAATTTAAGTTATGATCAATCTTGGGAATAAATGGGTTCATTTTAGTGTCTTCGTTTAGCGCGTACTTTACTTAATGCCTTGAACAATTTAATGCAGTTTGTATTGTACTTTTTTTTACTTTTTTGTGTAAGAGAAATAGAGAGTGTATAAAATACAAAAACTGCCTTTGTTTTCATTGTCTGTCTCCATATTCTACGGATTCGCGTGAGATGCAGGGAGAACAGATCCTACGGGGGCTTCAATGCTTGTTTTGACCCGCGCGCGCCAAGTTGATAATCTTTGCAGTTGACAGTGTACTGACATTCCATGTTTCAAGCCCCCACCCACTCAACAAACGCTCGTCGACTCTTCGATTGTGTCTCTTTCACTGTCTATCGTTCTCCATATTGTCACACGATTTTGAATGCCGAAGGACGTGTTCATACTGTTACCTGTGTGCGCCTTTTTTACCTTTTTACACCTTTTCACATTTGTGCATCTCTTTTTCTCCTTCTTTTGTTCCTTCCCTTTTTTTTCATCGTACTTTTCCTTTATTCCCATTTTTACGCGCACATCTTTCATCGCCCTCAACTTTATTCTTCTACGCGCTTCATTAGACGCGACTATCTCCTTGTCTGTTTCAGTTTTCATTCGTCTCAATCCTCGCGCAACGTCAGGTCTCTTACAACTCATATACCTCCTTACTTCCCCAGAGTAGTTGTTATTATGCTTATTTTGTTCACTTTAGGATGGTGTCCTCTTTGCATCATGTCTAGTAAAATCTTAGTTTTCCTTTCGACTCATTCCCAGTCCACAGGGGGGTCTCAATTTTAAGTCTCACTTGCCAGTGTTTGCTCTCCTCGGTCCTCTCATCACAGTAGCAGCTATAAAACGAAAGAGCTCCCTCCAAGTCTCTGCGACATAATCGATGCATTTTGTTGGAAAAGAGTCCTTCAATGTCCAAATTAAGGCTTCTTCTATCATCTGATTGGGAATGGATCATACTCTCGCCCAGGGTCCACCTACATCGCGAGTCCAAGATGGCAGCAGGCCAATCCACAGACTTCTCCGAGTCGGTAGCCGTCATCTTGGATGTAGACGCAGAGAGGACCTTGAAAAAGTGTTTTGACAAGACAATAATCAAGAAAGGTTAAGTTATTGTAATGCTTCCTAAGAGGTAGTCGATAACAGCCCGAGAGATTCATTAGGAGCAAACACGTTCCGTCGATTATTAGACTCCATGTCTCCTTACGTTGTAGAACAAACTCCTCGAATACGTACGCCTATATGCCCTCTTCTCCTCCCCTAAATAGCACTATATATCCCTTTATTGCAACTTTTAAAATTATACTGCACAATACAACATTATACCCCGGAGTAGCACTGTAAATCCGTAAAATGAAGTAACTGTGCAGCGCCTCACAACAATATGAACCCCTAAATAGTACTGTGCTTCCCTCTACTGAATTTTTTTCAGCATACAGCGCTCTATAAACTATTGCTCCAATTTGGCACGAAAATAATTGTGGATATTTGTCCGCGAACATTATCTATTCCAAGATGCCAAGGACAAATATCCGAACATATTTTCGTGCAAAATAGAGGCTATTGTGATTTTTATCCTTGAATTATTTTGCAACGCTCGTGAAAGAATCTTTATGAACAGCTCACTGAATTGAATTAAATTTGAAACGAAGACTTATCGAGGTAGAAGTCAGGTTTGCGAATTGGGGAATATCGCTTGCGTGATATTCTCGGATATCACCCAGTATTAGCTGGGGGATATTTAGTCACTTACTGCGTTTACACCAATTGCGCGCGAGCAAAGATATTTGATGGATCATAAAAAGCAACAAGTACCCCTAGATAGCACTATACTTCCCTCTTCCACAATTTACATCACAATACAGCGCTATAAAACAACATGTACCCTTAAATAGTACTATACTTCTCTCTTCTGCAGTTTACATCACTATAAAGCGCTATACAACAATATCTACCCCTGGATAGCATTACACTTCTCGCTACTGCAGTTTACATCACTATACAGCGCTATACAACAATATGTACCCCTAGATACCACTATACTTCACTCTTCTGCACTCTACATCACGATACAGCGCTATACAACAATATCAACCCATAGATAGCATTATACTCCTCGCTACTGCAGTTTACATAACTAAACAGCTCTATAGAACGATATTTACCCCTAAGTAACCTTGATCGGCATAACAGAATACATACATCGAAATTTTCCATGCTTTGTGTCTTTCTCCAAGGTTCATTAAATACTCGATGAAAACCTTTGCGTCGTTCAAAGAAAACGCAGCATTTTCCAGCGCAGTCGTGACTCGTTTGACGTGAAGACACAGAGATGGCGAGTTGATTAAGGCTTTAAATTTCAAACTCTTAAAGGCGGGAAATATTTCTGAAACAAAATCATTCACGAACATCACTATTAATTCTGAATAATGTAAATTCGATTCACGTTTACTTTAGATAATAAATTTTACTCCCATTTTGCCAATCATACAAAGAAATCAATACACTAAGCAATGCCTTCAACAAGACACAGTTACACAGTTGTAAATCTCCATCCTCATCCTCAGTAGAACTATGCTATCACAAAGGTGGAATAATCGCGGAAGAATAACCGCGCTTAAGACCTTCCTATATACCGAGGAATTCGTGCCACTGGATTCGACATGTGCCAGTAACCTACTTTCACATTTAACGTGACGTTCAGCTAAGATCAGGAAACTGTTTCTTTTGTTCTTCATCACAAACGATTCCAATCCTAATAGTGGTATCATATTTGCATAAGAAAGCTAATATCAACTCGAGACTCTGCATTAATTTTTTTTTGATGAAATGAAACAGAACAAACCAGAGATACCACGTACTTAAAACACTAACCGTTTAAACATTTTCTTCCACATGACGCTCTTAACGGGCTCAACGAGCTGCCAAAATTCTCTTCAAATCCGTTTTTTCGTTCGTGTGATAGCTTGACTTCTATTTCGATTTGACAGTTCAGTTCGACAGTTTGACTGTTAAACCTTAAATGAAGATTTGTAGACACCAGCTGAATAGATTTATGAATTTGCTTAACGGCGAATGAACGCATTGAAATCAAAATTGATTTTCTTTAAG